GAGAACATTTCCAAGTTCCTCATTTCCCTCCACTCGCCACCACACAACTCAGATCTCCCCCCCCCCCCCGGTCCTCTTTCTCAGTAACTAAGATAACCGTACATTGGAAACACCCAATTGGCAAAGATCTGCAATCTGTGTATCTGTCTCGTTCACAGAGATCCCCACCATAAAGACAGGAAGAGCGCTTAAAGGGCTTGCTCCTTTATTGTGGCAAGATCTTTGGCAGGCAATACAGTCCATTTCCTCGTACGCCGGAAGTGCTCCTTTCAAGTATTCCAGTCATTCCCCTTAACTTTATGGGAGTCTTTTGTTAGCTCAGGTTTATCAAGGGACCTCCCACCCCCACCCCACCCCGTGGGTAAAATCTGTCGGGAAGATCTCCTGCGCAAGCACGGCACGGCAGCACTTTTTTGCCCGGCTGCCTTCATTTCAGTGAAGTTTGATAAAGGACGATTTCCAGGCGGGATACATAGATAGATCGTCCTGCTTGTCTGCTTTTTTACCTTTTGTTGGCCAGGAAGGGCTGACCTAGAAAAGCTCCCCTCTACACTAAATGAGCAAGGTACAAAGCTACTTCAGGTTTCCCCTTTGCTGCTCCTCAGTAAATTACCCCCCCCCCTACTCTGGACCCCGTTTCCGTGGAACTTACTTCTGAGTAAGTATATATGATGCTTCAGATGTCAGCCCTGACTTCTTCCTTCTCCCACCGTACGCAGAGCTTTGGGGCAGTCCAGCATCACTACTTAATATTCCGACTATTTTACAAATGATACAATTTATCTGGACTTTGACACACTTTACTTCTTAAAAGGAGAGAACTGAATTTCGAACCATTTGTATGGAAGCACGGGGGTGGGGTTGTTTCGTTTTTGGGGAATAGAAAGGTCTCCTGCGTAAGATCGCCGCTACTTCCACTAAAAATAAAGAGAAGGGCACAAGGGCACTACATTTGTACAGGTTTCGTTCATCGCAGTCAAGCTTGTGTAGGAGAATTTTCCGAGTGGATTTCGATTTTGCAACCAAAACGAACGTTTTCGTACCTAGGCCATTGTATATATATGGTTTTGAAAGTCGACATTGATGAACTTTTAAAGAGAACAACCATCAAACGTGAAGGCTTGTTCTTTAATTTTACGGCAATGATATGATATAAACCTTCAACGTTTTTACATCTGTAGTAATCTGCTGCAACCTTAAGTCTTAAAATATTTAAAAGACTCAAATAAGAATAATAAACATCCAGAGTTGCAGACTGAAGGCACCAGTTGAACAAGAAACCCCGACTCCTCCGCATGGAAAAATATCTGCAGTCCTCACCCACCCAATATCACATAAAATCAGCCAGCCTCTCATACAAACAGTTTTGGGCTACCAGAAATATTCATTCCTCTTTATTCAGGTGTTTCATACTTAATTATTTTCCTTTTCTGTACGATCCTCTGGTATTAATTAGCATTACTGTTCATACAAACAGAAGTTTTGCCCCTTACCTCAGGCTATCACTTCCTTTTGCTATCATAAACCAACCCATCCTAAACCAGGATTTAATCTGGATCAGGGAGAGTTTAGCCCTATAATCTATTCTTCTAACAAACACTTATTTAGCTACAGAAGCATTAGCTGGCACTCCATTCACTCACCCTAACCACGAGAGATAGAGGGACTCTGAACGTGTGCAGGCTGCTTTTCCCTTCTCTGCGTGTAAACAATGGTATTCCTCACAAAACTACGATTTTAGGGCAGGACTTCCAGTTCAGAGCAAGTATCCAAGAGACACATTTGCGCCCCGACACCATTCCACTTGTTACATAAACATGGAATTAAGTTAAACCCATTGGGTGTACTTCTTAATAAAGGAAGTTTATTAAGTTTATTGACAATGGAAGCTCCTAGCCGCTTTGAGTCTCGGTTTTGGGAGAAAGGCGGGGTAGTAGTAGCAACAGCAGCAACAACAACTGTATTCAGGTGGGCTTAGTCTGGGGTAAGTGTGTGTATAGGATTGCAACCTAAATGTGTGATTCAGATTCAATGTGGCTTGTAGAATAGGATTTCCTAGTGGATTGTGCCCAGTACGTTACCATTCAGGGGGATGCGTTAGGAAATTGGATTAATTTCCATTTATATAAATAGCGCTTATTTCCAACAAATCTGTTTACGATTGGCCGGCAATCTGCGCAACAGTAGAATATATCGGAGTGAGGGTGAAAATTGTAGGCAGAAGTTTTCCACCCAGTAAAAAAAAGTTCTCGATGCAGTTAGGCAGAAGTACTTAGCTTTAAGACAATTTGAACCCTGATGAGACCAGAATGCTTTAATTTCGGGAGTTTCGGATTACCTGTGGTCTAAAGATATTGGGCATGTCGACCGACCTAAACGAAAGTGAAGGGAAACGAATGACACAATGTCGTTCTCACACTTACGTGAGAAGTAAGACCCATTGGGGCTATTGGCGGTGATGCAGCGGAAGGTCGAAGCTGTGCGGTTTTTTGCACGGTGTCTAAACGATGCAAGCAGAAGCTTAAACAGGTTATATTAACAGTAGCTGAAGGGTTTCGCCACGCGTGGCACTAAGGTCTTCTGGAACGGTGTCTTTTGAGGTTCAGTCGAGTTACGCTAGAATTAGTCTAGAATGAGATTGTAAACTTTAGCTACGTACATTCGTTTTTCTTCTTCTGCGCTAACAACACCCACATGTGGTACGGAGAACTCAAAGGCACTTTTAATTGTCTCGTGTGAAAACACAGGTCATCTAGGAAGTAGACCTCTGGTGCAAGCAGCATCTGAATCGTGCTCTTGCACAGTTTCCCGAACAGTTCAACCAGATTTCCCAACCAGTTCAACCAGATAATTTTCCAGCCGGATTCGTGACCTCTGTGTTAAACACTTCTCCTGGGCCTTCCAGGATAATTTTGGTAGGACTTTACCTGCTGGGTTGGGACTTTATTGCTAACATTGTTGCTGAGATCTCGTAAGAATGGCTTAGAGGAGAAATGAGTCTGGCGAACCACCCGTAGATAACTATATCACTACAATACCTGAGAGGGGCATCTAGCTGACCACTGTTGGAAACAGGGAGCAGGGAAGGACACCATTTTAGGTTAATGGAGGCAAACTTCAAATGCGGGACAGGAAGCATAGCAAAGTTCAAAGACCTGCTTTCCTAGTATGCTCAAGATTAAACTGCAAAAAAGCAAGACAACACAACAACCCAAGACTGCATTTGAAGAGTATTTGTTGAGAGAGAGAGAGAGAGAGAGAGAGAGAGAGAGAGAGAGAGTCTGTCTACCTATCTGTCTTCGGAGATATACAGTGCTCCTGAGAAATTATCACACGTAGCCTGAAATTAGGGCCTGGGGAAGGTAAATGCTCCCCGGCCTCTCTAAATGGCACTCTGGAGAGCTGGCCCAGATGGACCTTTGCTCTGATCCACCCTTCCTTGGATTCTCAGCACATGTGCTCCGAAGCAAAACCATTAGAGGATCAGAAAGGCGGCAGTCCTCTCTCCACTTACCTGGGAGTGTGCCCTCATTGTGTTGAGTGGAACTTCCTTTTCTAGTGAGCCTAGACTCCCCTTTGCCGCTTTCATGGAACTAAGTTCCATTTTCAAACTGTGCGGCTTCTTTCCTTCGAAGTCTGTTCCGACTCTGGATCTATGTGTGCCCCTTGGGTGTTCTTCCAAAACGGGACAGAGCCTCGCTTGCATGCTGACATGGTAGGAGTTTCCCCAAAACATCTTAATTTGGAGTTCTGATTCTGTCGTGTGAATCGAGAGAAAGGGGAAGGTTTCTGTTGCTTTATCGGGCCCCCTAACCTGACTTGATTCCACCACCCCCACCTGCCCGTTCTGCTTTTCTAAGGCCCAGTAACGGATATTTATACTCAGCAAAAAGGCAACGAACTGCGCCAGAAAGTTTATGCCTTGGCATTTGGCAGCAGTTCCCGATACAGCTGGGTCCTGAGCGTTCCATCTATAGAATGATGTTCTGGATGGTATGCAACTAAATTTTACTCAGAGTAGACCCATTGAATTGAATGGACATGACTAAGCGGGGTCCATTAATTTCAGTGGGTCTACTTGGAGTAAACTTTCGTTTCTGTCATGAGACTTGCTCCCAAATAATCATGCCAAGCCTTTAAAATCAGGAATATGACCCCAGGTTTTAGAAAGGAGTGATACTGAAATATGTGGAGCTTACCTTTGGGGATATTTACTGTAAAATGTTTTTGTTGTTGTTGTTTTTCTTTTAATCCCGTCAAAACTTACTTAGGATCGCCGGGCCTACCAGCAGGCCTACCCGGAAGCGAATGACACTGAAATCAATGGGATTTATTTCCAAACCTACATGCTTAATATTGAGGTTGTAAATCTATGAATGGATATTGGCCGCAATTAACAATTCACTCCGGAACAGTCCAATTAGCTAGAGCAGGACTTTAAATAGATTGTGGATTGCAGCGCTGGTATTTGAATAACAACAGTAACGCGTTCGCACAGATTAATTCTAATAAATAAACATATCCATGGTTGACATACAGCGCACTGCCCACAACACAGTTCAGTCCGAGGAGCTGGATTTCGGCAATTGGGGTGGACTCCTAGAACATAACCACATGTACTCCACTAGTTTCAGTGGGACTTCCTCGCAGATGACTTCTGGAGAACGGCACCCTTAAACTGACTTGGGTAATAAGCACTTCGGCTGAAACTAGGTTTGTGATATTTGTGCGAATTGGGGGGAACTCTTACACCCTTAGGTTTCCTGGCTGCCAAAACTTTAACTTTTAAAGGTAATTCCAAAGTAAGCGTAGCAGAGAATCGGAGAGAAACCAAAATTCTACATGATTGCTGGGGGGTTGTTTGAAAAGGTGCTGCTGTGATCTACTCCGAGTTTACTTTTTTCCTCTCTCCAGTCTGTTGCTTTCTTTTTATGGAGGCTTGCTTTTTTTCCTGACCATCCCAAAGAAAGAAAGAAAGAAAAAGTTAAGATCGGTCTTACCTGGAGCCGAGTCCCGCGTCTTTGCGAAGCGCAACATAAATGCATAAACGCATGTCTTTGCAAAATGAAAACAAAAACACCACGCACACCCATGCTGGGCCAACTGAGGGTTATGCCCCCCGTGCCCCCCCCTTCCACACACACACACACATATGAAAGACAACGAATAGCAACTTTGGGCAGATTCAGTGTCTGGAATTCACGGTTCCCCTCCTCACACCTACCCAACCCCAATCTTCCTTGTTCTCTTTCTTTGGGGACCAGGTTCCTTCGTAGTGAGGGATGTTAACATATTTCTACAAATGTAATACAGCGTGAAAAGAACAGTCTGTCTGTGTCTGTGTCTCTGTCTCTTCCCCGCCCCCTTTTAAAAGCAAGGCTTCCTGCTACAGATTATATGGAAGCAATACTTGAGAAATTTAAGTGCATTACGTGTGTGTGTGTGTGTGTGTGTGTGTCCTTTCTGGGGTCACACCCCAGCCACCACATCTCACGGTTTGTTAATCCGACTCTTCGCATAATAAAGTTTTAAATAAGGTCTGGGCGCTCGGTGACACATACACATCTAAGGCGATAACTAGAAAGTTTACTCTGATGCCTTCCTAAGCACTGTTGCCCAAATCATCCAGATACGTACACCCAACTTTTTTTTTTAATGTTATAGGCAGATGGCAATCGGAAGTAAAGTATCACTTTACTTTGAACTTTGGTTTATGTAGGATCGCGGCCCTCTGACAATCCCCATTGCTGTTAAAGGGATGAGTTGTTCCGCACACAGCCGAGTTGAACCAGAGCAGCTGGTTGTTGTGGTTGTTGAATACCAGCCGTCGATGACAACCAATAAGAGCGATATTGCATTAGACCATTGGCATCCTTATCCTAAGCTCATTTATTTGGGGGGGGGAGTCTCTCATCGCTGATTTCAGTAAAAGGGATGCTAACTTTATGGACAGATACAATGGGGTATGCGCAGGAGTGTGAACTTGGAAGTTCCATTGGAATCAATAACATTTATTTGCGAGTAGATAGCTTTAAAGTTTGTGTGTGCGCGTTTGTGCGTAAGATAACTATTGCTTAATGGAACTGATTAACCTGTCTTAGACACAAAATTAGAGTGATACTGCAGAGAACATCCACAACAGATATGACTTCCTTTGTTCCTTAAATTAAGTTCGTTAGTCACTCAAAAGTTTATTCCATACATATTCCACACTATCACTCTCCCCAAGCTCCCGTGGATTTTCTTGACAGTTAAATGCCACCCGTTTCCACTGAATTTACTCTTAAGCAAATGAGATGAATCCCACACAACCTTCAGACCCATTGTCTTGCATCTAAGCTAGCCAATGTAGCAACCCTACTACCAGCAATAATATACGGAAGTTGTTCGGTGCTGGGACTATTTCGATTTGTATCTCAGGGTGGTATTCAACGAAGTGTTTGCCCACACAAGACCCACTGAAACGAATGAGCATGACTAAGTTAGGTCCATTTATTTCAGTGCGTCTACTCTGAGTAAAACCTAGTTGAATACCACCCCCAGTTTCGGATCTAGGTTTTAGCTCTCCTCTAATTTCGACTATACTCTCTGGGAATCTTAACCCTTGGTTCACAGACAGCTAGTATTATTGAATGTATTATCCCTCCCTCAATTCCCTGGTTTTCCTTTATTGGGGTTCCTTTTTGTAACTCACACAGGTTTCTAACTTTACAAGGGATCTCTAACTACTTTACTAACTGCTAAGATTATAAAATGCCGCTTGGAATTGTGTTTTTAAAGTTAGGTCTAGTTTCTGGTCCGGGAGTATTAGCTACATGTGTAAATTGTTTTGCTTCCCTCCAGAGAAGGAATTTTCTCACTCCCCACTCCCCTCCCTCCATTCCTCCACTTACTTAAAAGTGGGGGGGGGGGGAGAGAAAAACTCTTTTAAAAAAACTCCAAACGGTAGCATTCATAACCCTGGGTTAACACAGGAAATGGAGAAAGGTAGATTTCTTCTTGTTGCTTTTCTTTTTTCTTTTTTGCCCCATAAAGGTTACAAAAACATATTTGATTTAAAACAAAATAAAGTTTTCAAATGCAGGACTCTCCCCGCCCATCTCCCCCCCCCTCAGAACTAAAGTTTCTTTCATAACCTGTAACAGGCTGTCCAAGTTTGTTTTCTGTGCCCTGGTCTTGGGGCTTTTTGATGGGGTTTTTTGTAGAAATAAAAGTGTGTGCGATGTTCTTGAGTTGTAAATAAACAACAGCAAATGTTAGGAGTTGGAGGAATCCTGAGTGAGAGGCGTATTTGAGGCTACCACGAGGTAGACTCATAAAATCTACCACCATTCGCCCTTTAAAACAGTTCGATCCACAACGTGGAATTCTCTGGCTTGACCCACGCCTCTCTAACTTAAGCACCTCTGCTTCCGAGTAAAGAAAGAGAAATGAATGAAACTTTCTACTAAATAAATGCTCTTACGAGGTCAGTGTTAAACCGACCCCTGTATACACGTTTTCTTGAAAGTAAGATTTCAGTGAGTCTTCAAGGACACCCACGCCTTGAACGAAGCTATCGCCTCTGTTCAAAACCTTTTCCACTGGAAATCCACTAGGGCTCACTATTCAGCCCATCTAAAGTAACCCTTGGCTAACCAATCAGACTACTCAATAGGATTTGGGTGTTGGCTTTAGGATTACAGCCTAAACTCACTTACTTGAAAGCCACATCCATTGTAATCAGAGGGATTTAACTTGATATCAAATGCTGTTGGCCAAAGTGTTCGTTTCAATTAAAGTCATTTGGGCTTAATCCTGTATCCGATTTCAAAAGAGCTGTCCTTCTAAGGCTTAGAAGTCATCTTGCTCAGCGTCTGTGGTACTGAAAATAGCTTTAAAGTTGATGAAACAATTTGTGGGACCCGCTCTAGAAGCCTGAAGGTGGACCTCTCGAACCAAAAGTTGTCCAAAGTCTATTCTGTTCGAGACTGTTGACCTATTGGCAAAGTGCCTGTGCAGGGGGACCAGCTTTGCCCCACAGATTAGGTCCTTAAACTGGAGATAGAGAGATAGAGGAGACAGGTGAGGGGGCCCTGCTTATCTGGGTAGGGTGTCTTACCGCCCTAGCTCTCCCTCTGGTGCTGCCTGTGGAAGCCTGCAATCTTTTTAAAAAAGAAAAGGCTACTTGCTATTTGTCATTCCTCTCACTTTCTCCCGAAAGCTATAGGGATCCAAGCCTACCCCCTGAAACACTTTTTCCGGTGAAATAGGACTCACACAAAATTGGGACCCCAGAGATTTTATCATTCAGCCAGAAGATAAAATTGTGAGAGGGAAACACTTCGTTTTAAAGGAGTTACGTCTGCTGCACATTAAATAAATTTACTGGATTTTTCTCTCTCGCCAAAAGGAATTGTTTTCAGCATGCAAAACATCAAACCGAAGGTTAGCGTGTGAACGTGCGATTTGGCAATAAATTTCAATAAGAAATGTTCTTTGGACTCCCCCCCACACACACACCAGTCGAAAACAATGAAGATGTTTTTGAGCAGTCCACTGCAGTCTACTTTAATAATAAAAATAATAATCGAAGAAGCCCGTTTAGCTGGTTGGCTATAGACGTTCCATTTATTTTGCAGATATATCACAGGTCTTTAAAGCCATTTAAGCAATTAATGGAACAGAATCTCATTTTATCTTTGAAATCTACTACCTGAGCTAACGGTATTTGTCTAACGTACTCCATCCAGTCCACAAACCAGAACATATCCGTACTAGGACTCCAAACCCAAGTATTTAGAGCTATAAAGTCCCATTGATATAACTCCAGGTACTCCAGTTTAAATGGATTGTTGACTGGGAAGTTTGGAGGTCTATCTGGTGACCGCTACCTCAATAGCTGTAATCTTGTTGAAGTCCCTGTTGTGTTCTTATTAAATTGCCCTTTAGAAATACTGAGGGTTGGGGAAAACTCTTTCCCTTTTGCTTAACTGTTTTCCGAGCATGCATGCATCTCCGTTTGGTATTTAATTTTCAACAAAATAATAATATGTAATTATTAGTATATACTTTCTTTAAGGAAATAATATCCCCAAACCAGGCAAAATAATTGCCTCCCTCCGATATAGAATCATCCAAATGGACCTGGTATTTAGCCTCCCGCAAGAGAACGCGAGGAGTTGACCTGCATGGCAGTGCATATTTTTTAAAAAGGAGAAGAAATGAAAATTAATGCATCCCTGGATAAAACTCCAGTGGATGAGAAGGCAAATGACTTTTGCAGGTCTTCTTGTGTGGTTTACTTCGCTGGGGAATCCCTCAAAGCCCTGGGTTCTACTTCAGGGTAACTCTCCTGAAGTCATTTTGGTATGAATTTATATACTCAAGAAAATTATATACTCGGCTGCTGACATGCCTCATAATTATTTATAGGAGGTGCCTGAGGATTTTCCAATAATATATTTATTACAGGTAAAACATGGACAATTTATCTTGCAAAACACTGAACAGGTGTTTCCTTTCAATTAATGTTCAGTAAATTTCATCGCTATTTAATTTTTTAACCCCTTCCCCAAGAACAGCTAAAAAATGTCTGTTTATCCATTGCTTGTCTAAACCGCCCCGTCAGTCAACAAGCTGGCCTTTCCCTTTCCACAATGCCTTTAAATCATCTCTCTTACGTTTTTCTTTCGCTCTAAAATCTAGAGAGCGGCCCCAAAACAGAATGATTAAAAAAAACACAACCCAGTAATTTCTGGAATACCATAAAACAGAACGCATGCTTGATTTCCAGTTTTAATTACACTGGGGGCCTTTTTCATCCCGAAAGGGGGTGGGCGTCTCTAAGTCTTGAATACATATATATGAAATTAGGAAAATTAAACAAGAGGTTGATTTAAGGAATTATTTTTGTGTTGTGATTCTTCCCCCACCCCCACCCCAATATTGCTCTAGAGATTCAAAGTAATGACACCAAGCAGTGATGCAGTGATACAGGAAAAGCCTATAGTTCTAGGTAAAAGCAAGTTGAATTCGGATCTCATTGAAGGCCATAATAATTCTGCAACTGACAACACAACTTTCCCCAAATGCCACCACGATTCATTTTACATACTATGGCTGCCAAATCGTGGGAGCATGATCCAGACAACGTTAAGCACATTTGAAGGTTCCACCAGTTTCAAGGGGAGTGTGAGGCACTAGTTTAACTCTCCGACTGAAACCAATAGGCCAAAAAACGTTTTAAGTTTGACTTGGGGTGCTTAAGGCTGCTGGCTCTCTTGGAGGTAAATCCCATGGAACTTGCTACTACTTACTGCTGAATAAACATGCATAGCATCCGGCTATAACATTTCTTCTTTCTTTCGTCCCAGATGAAAGAGACTCTCGAGGTAGATGGGATGGAGGCAGTGATCTAGATATTGGTTTCAGGTGTTTTTTGAAACCTTCAAGCGCAAAAGAACTTTAGTCTGTCTAATCCTCTATCTATGCCCCTGAATGCTTCTGCTGTCCACCAAGTCAACTGACTTTTCTGTTTCCTTTTTGACTCCCTGCCTCTATCACAACACTAAACATACTTTACTCTGAAGTAGGTTTCATTGGTCCCAAAGGAACTTACTTCCAAATAAGTATTCTTTATATTGCATTCTCTTTATCTTTCTCTCTCTGGATTCCTTTAATTATTTTTAAAAACCTGTACCAGTCTATCTGTCTGTCTGTCTTTCCTTCAATCTCTTCCTATTCATTTTTGTCTCTCGATACGATCCTTCATCCATCTCAGATCTGAGATCTGCTACCTACCAACACAGCACCTTGGTGTGCAACACACAGACACACATCATCTCCGTCCTTTTGAGAAAATTACTTGAGGAAAATGACAGCCTTCTTTTAGACATGACGTTGTTGCTGATCTTGGGCTAATTTTCTTCATGGCCCAGAATTATGCTCTATAAGGATGAGTGGTTTCCTCAAGGAGAGCAACCGCTTAATCGAAGCCCTTCTGTCCTCGCAGAATGTACCTTTCGCCTGCACCAGTACTGAACAATTATTCCGTGCTGCATTTTGGACCAAGGGTGTTGGACAACCCTTGGTGTGAGAACTCGGGGTCTTTTTCACCCTCTCTGTCTCTCTCTAGTGCCGGAAAGGTTGTGGGGCTGTGTCCAGTTAAAACCTCTGTCGAACACTTCCTGCTCTGCTAGAAGGAAAACTGAACCCACCGCGTTGCAAAATACGAATTTACGATAGGGCATTGTGTGAGATCCTTGACAGAGACAGACAGCTCGATCTGCAAGACTGTTAAGCCGAAGCTCGTTGGGATATTTTAGTCGTTTTAGGCCTATTGGGCACGCCCTACGGCTCTAAATCTACTTACTTGGAAGTAAATCCCACTGAGATAAGTGGACATAAACTCTCACATGAATATACTTAGGGTCTGGGTTGTCAGCCTACACGCCACAGCGGTTGGCTTGGACATAACTGCTCCGGAGCAAATACGCTGTGAGATGTTGTAGTGGGATCATTGATTGAAACATACAAGGCTTCTGCTTAACTGGATTGGATCTGGAGCATCAAAAAGGTTGAGAAGGAAGAGGGGATGGAGGGAGACGTGCGCTGATATGTTCAAGACACCCCTTGGGCTCCCCCCCCTAAACACCCTCCTTTTCCACAGGCAGTAAATTCAAGGCTATAAAAATCAGAGAAAGCTAATGTAAGTTTTATTCAACTATTTAACCGTCTCAAGTCTAACGCCTTCTGTAAGGAAACAAAGAGGATCAGTACCGGATTGGACATTTTACAAGGGTAGTAAAATTAAAGTGCGTGTATATGGCGGGGAGGGAAGGGAGAGGAGAGAGAGAGGAGTGTGTTGATTTCAGCGATGCAACTCAGCCTCTCTCTCCCCCCCCCTTCGTTGCTTTCAAAACAAACCGGGCTATTGCAGCAGAGACCCTACAGATCATCGATCTGTTTATCTGAATCTTGAAATGCACTCATATAGACGAACAAAACATTTAAACCTATAGCTTCTCTTTCTTTATGTGTGTCTATATACATGCATACCACATATATGGAGAGAGCGAGAGATCTGCCTATACACATATGCATATGTGGCGAGACTTGTTTCCTTTTTAATTATAAGCTTATCATATGCTTTGGGCTTCACTTACAGGAGACAGATTTCACTCAGGCATGCATATTGCATATGCAGATGCACACCCGTGTGTACACACACACACACACGCACACACACACAGACACCGAGGCATACATAATACACACACGGCAGTGTTTAATATACAATGCACACAGGCATTACTCTATACACACCCTTGACAGTTACGTTTAACCAGGGAAAGGAAGGCAACAAGATCAGGAAGTCATCCGATACAAAAAAAAAAAAGAAAGAGTCTACTAATATTTTACTTCCAATCCACAATCCACCCATAACGATCATCGCCATCTCCCGTACATACATTTCAAAGCCCTCCATTGTAACCCTTGCAAAAGGTATCACCTCCCTCTTTTAGAAAACTTTAGAGGAAAGCCAGCGCAATTTATATTGCCTTGCCCCCCACCCTCCCTCAGCTGAACAACACGGGCACCTCGAAGGAGAGTGAGCGGAGTCTAGAATTACACAGTTTATAGATGTGGGGGGTGGGGGTGGAGAGACGCGCGGGGGGGTGTGCACGGAAAGAGAGAATTTCCCCCAGAAGAGTGTTAGTGAAGGCAAAGAGAGGGCAAAACACAGCATTTTTCTTTCATGTTTCAGAAGGGGATTTTAAAGAGAGAGAGAGAGAGGAGGGGGGAATCTATTAACCCCCACCCCCCACCCCACGCCACCTCCTCCCCTCCCCACCCGCGTTTGCACTGTACGTTTCGCGCTTTCTGAACTCCCGACGTTTTGCAACATTGCATCAACATAACACAATCCATCCTTGATATGGAATGCAGAGGGCGGTTTGACAGCCCAGCGCAACCCCCTCCGCTAGGATTGATTTACGCCTGCCCTGACGCTTTATCAGCCTGACGAAAAAAGTTTGACCAATCATTTTGCTGGAAGCTCCCAACCCGGCAGTCCCGACTGTACTTTTTCTTGGCTAGGAAGTTGATGCTGGAGGAGAAAAGGGGGTTAAAGGCAGAGTGTCGCCTGTGGTTTCTTTCTTTTTTCTTTTCCCCCCTTCTTTTTAAATTTTTTTAAAATGCTTCCCCTCTATATACCCTAATACTTATAGAGCCTGCTTAACTACAGATCTACTCCTCTCTCTCTCTTTTTTTATTATCGCTTGCTTGCTTTTTCCCCTTCACTGAACCGTGGGGCTCGTATGATGTCCAAGAATGTCCATTTCTGGAACTCTTAGCAATTATTATGTCGACTCCATTATAAGTCATGACAGCGAAGACTCTCCCGCCGCCAAATTCTCTTCCGGGCAGTATTCAAACTCCAGACAAACTAGCCACAGTGAACACCTCGAGTTCCCCTCTTGTAGTTTCCAGCCCAAATCCTCCGTTTTCAGCGCTTCCTGGACGCCACTGACGCCACACACGGCTGCTACCCTTCCTTCGGTCTACCATCCTTACATCCAGCATCAAAACGTCCCTACCTCCGAGAGCAGGTATCTACGGAGCTGGCTGGACCCCGTGCCCCGAGCAGAGAGCATAGCAGCCGGGCAGGGACCAGTTAAAACAGAGCCGCTGCTGGGACACCCCGGGGAGATCCGTAAACAGGGGACACAGGAGTACCATTTAGAAACTTCTGCTGGAAGGGAAGGGATCGCTTCCAATCAAAGGCCCAGCTTCGAGGACAATAAAGTTTGCGAAGGAAGCGAGGACAAAAGCAGGCCAGATCAAAGTAAGTTATAAAAAGTGAGGAAGTGAACAGCATAAAAACCTAAGAGGGGGTGTCATAAAACGGCACAATGGGCGAGGGAAGCTTTAAAAAAATATATAACCGGGTCTTAAAAGAGAAATCTCTCCCTTCCCCCAGCCCTACTGCGCCAACCCCCCCCCCAAAAAATAATCCCACTAGCGCTGTTCTAGCATTGGAGGGGTGTGGGGGTGGCAAAGATTTATCTGCTGCTTATTGCGATATGTATTTATTTTTAAGTCAATGGAATATCATGCAAAAGGGGGAAATGAGATTCGATCTTCCTCTTCCAGTGATTTGAAGAAGGGCAAGTCACAATATTTGTCTTGATTATATAGGAAAATGAGCAGCGGGGGAAAGTGAACCGGGAAAGATCGGCGTGTGTGTGTGTCTGTCTGTCTCTGCGGTTTTTATCCATCTAAGTTATACTCAAAGCAGGGCCATTAAAATGAATGGACGCCCGTCATTCATGTCCATTATTTCCAATGGGTCTACTCTGAGTAGGACTATCGTGGATCTTTGGGTGGGGGAGGGGGGCGAGACCTGGGGAAAGATATTTGTTTTGTTTTTAAAAGGGGCCGAAAGAAGTTCACGTGGAGGAGTGAGGAGGGGGCTTTGTTACTCTGTGCCCTTGTTTACCTTGAAAGACCCCCGGTTCCCTCCGCCGCGCTTTCTTCTGTCACTCTCTCTCTCTCTTCCTGATTGTTGATTGTTGTTTGTTTATGAAATGCACCCGACATGCGTATGAATATTTCAGAGCCCAAAGCCGCCGCCCTCTCCCCCCCCCCTCAGCAAAACAGTAAAATGGGGAACGAGCTTAATTGGGTCTTTTATTTCCTAAAGGGGAACAGACTGGCAAACTCTTAAACTTAATCGTGTGCTTCATTTTGCAACCTGGTGGCGGGTGGTGGCTATTATCTCCCTTTCCTGCTCCACCACCCCACCCCTACGCGGAAAAATATATATATATATATAACGAAAAGAGTTTGGCGAGGGATGGAGCTACAATAAAATATAATAGGAATCATCTTTGCCTCTTACGTATTCTTCAAGGTAAAGGAACAGGATGCTCTGAAGGCTGTCTCCACCGCCTTTCCCCCCGTGTGAGACGTTTCAAATAGCCGAAGAGCTCGATTCAGTATTTTGGTTGGTGGGGAAAGTATGACTTAGATGGTTTAAAATCTCAGCGCAAGTCATTCATCCGAGGCGATGGCTTCCTGGCATTCTTGCGGGGGGCCGGGGGGTGGAATGCAATCTATCGATTTGTCACTATCTTTTCTCAACTGATTTTTAATTTTTTTAAAATGCTTTATTATTATTATTATTTTAAAACTGTAAGTTCCCAGTCCGGAACTACAGGCGGAGTTGGGAGGGGTGAAACAGCGAGGATTTTGAAGGGGCATTTGGCTGTTGGGGCAGTTCTGTACGTCTTCGTCGCATTTCACTCAGCCTTGCACAGTGGGAGGGGGGCGAATAAGGGAGTTTTTTGTGTACTGTGTTTGTTGGGACGCTGGCAGGCTATCTGGATCAGCGGCTGAAGAGAACGGTAGAGAAGAAGTAGAAGGGTGCTTTAAAAAAAAAAAAGCTTATGTGCCCCCCTTTACCCTCCTCCCCACCCCCATCTTTCTCCCCAGCCCCGGGACTGAAGATAGATAAAAATCTTACCCAAGAACCCTGCTCGATTCCAGAGGCCCAGGCTGCCCAAGGGCGTCCTGTGCAATCTAGCTTAGAAGGTATGTTTGGTCTGATATGGAGAGAATGCTATAAAAAGAAGAAGAAGATGGAGGGAAGGAAGAAGGAGGAAAAGTCCGTGGCAGAAGCAGAAGTTAATGTCTGACACTTGCCATGCCCTCCTTTCCCATGCGGAAAGCATTGCGCTTTTGAGAATCCACACTCTTCGAGAAGGTCTAATTTGTGTATATACAAATGTGTGCCATTTTGGGTTGTGTGTGGGGATGGTGGGAGAGTAGCGTGCCAAGCGAACATGTCTCTCTTCTTTTTTTGTTTGTTTGTTTCCTGTTTGGGGAATAGTGTGAAATGAAAGATAAACTTGTTTTCCTGTGGCAGACGTCATGTTTCCTTGAAATGCCAAGAAATCACGCACATACACACACACACACACACACACCACTAAAAGGAGGGCCATTGGTGGAGATTTCATCCAAATGCCATTAAAAGATAGGTAGCTGTATTAATTATTAACAGCATGCCTCTTTAATATTTAATTCTGCCTATTAGAGCCAGTCACTTCTGTTGCGGAATCGGCTGCTCGGATTTGTAAGACGGGGGGAGCTAAACCTGGTTTAAAAAACAACTCCGAATGCAGTTCATTTTGTAACTTGCAAGGAAATGGCATCGGTGCACCTCCTGCACCGCTTAAAACGATCCCCAAGTAAGACAGAAGTTTGGCTTTGGACTATAAAACTCCCCGTTTGATTATCAACAAGAGTTTCATTACTGACCAGCCGGCGCAGCTCAAATGTATTCTAGGTTTCTTTTGTCAAATATTCCGTCACAACGAGGCTTCTTTAATCTTGAACAGACCTATTGCAATATAAATATATTCTCTCTCTCTGGGTGTGCGTGTGTGTTCCTATCTCCTTACGCAGAAATGGATTCTATCCACACTCTTGTTTCTGCCATGACTCGTGCAGAGAGGGATCCTAACCCTCATGAAGTTGTTTCTTGAATTACTATTCGAGCTAAATAAATAAATAAACCCCCAAAACACTGGGAGCGATGCACAGTCCGCTGGGCAGGTCTTACTATGTGTCTTGCGCAGGATAGCTTCCTGGTGAATTGTGGCCTGTCTTCATTCTCACCCTGTACTTCTCCAGAGTCTTTTGCGGTGCTTAGGAGGACCGTGATGTAAACACCTCTTTCCGGACAACACATACAGGCAACAACAAGCAATTGGTTTCCCCGCTGGCAGGGGTAGCTAGGGTGTCACAGGTCTTCTTTTTAAAAAAGTAAATTATAAGAAAGCAGAAGAGAAGGCGGGTGTGCTAAATTATGCATAGTTTTATATGAATCAATTTGTATATATGACACTTCGCTAGAAAGGCAATCGGCGCGCCATGATCCTCCAAAGATGCGCAGGAAATAAAGAGTACTGTAGAATACTATGACATCTTCCCATAGTGTTCATCTGACAATAGACCCTTCCTTCCTTCCATCCATAATCTCCCATCTATCTATATATAGAGAAACAGATGGACACTCTGTGTGTGTGTGTAAATATATTTCATCCTTCCTTCCTTTCCATTCAACCAATAGCTGCATCATTTGCTATAGTCTCTAACCACCTTCCAGTGTCAGAAAAGGGCTCCGTTAACTTTCCCTTTTTAGTATCAGTTTCTGCCCCCCAGACATATATCCAACCTTGCACATAAATGTTCAGATATTAGTAGGCACTCTTTCTACAACTGTTCGCTGGTTGCTTTTCAAAGGTGGCTTTCATTTATAACCTGTAATGTACTTGAGGGGTGCCCCTCTTTTACGTGGGTGCTCATCTTCTGCCAGTTCAAAAGTTGACCAAGAGGCCCTTCTTCTGAGGAAGCGGTGTGTGTGTTTGGGTTGTGAGTCTCTGTGGATTCCAGTGGCGCTTGTCTGACGGGGGCCTCCTCGCTGTCTTTCTCTTCCAGGTAACCCTGCAGCCAACTGGTTGCACGCTCGCTCTTCCCGGAAGAAACGATGCCCCTACACCAAGTACCAGACCTTGGAACTGGAGAAGGAGTTTCTGTTCAATATGTACCTCACCAGGGACCGTAGACACGAAGTGGCCAGGCTCCTCAACCTGAGTGAGAGACAAGTCAAAATCTGGTTTCAGAACCGAAGGATGAAGATGAAGAAAATGAACAAGGAGCAAGGGAAAGAATGATGCTTTCCTTCTCCCTTTCCACACCCCTCCCTCTTCTCACCCCCAATTTTGGCCCCGTCTCGAAACTTATATGCTGTATATTTATGGGCACTGACTTCCCAGCGGTGCTTCAGATAGCAACGAAACCACGCCAGACCCGAACAGACCACCGTGGTTTGCATGCAAAGGGTGCCCATAATAGGAATGCACCTGTTTTCATCCCGTTGAGTCTTTCTCACTGTTAAAGATTATTGACGAGGTAACGCCAATTTGGGGGCACATGTTTGTTTGTTTGTTTGTTTGTTTGTTTGTTTGTTTGTTTGTTTGTTTCCCCTTTGGGTGCATGTGTTCCTTCTACCGAGATAACTGAGAGGGTCCCATCTATGCACATGTCGTTCTTTCGGATAGTCCTTATAGAGCCCCTCAGCTGGTCCCTCTAATGATAATAAGCATCTACATCTGACGAGTGCTCTGTCCCAAACACAAGGCACCTTCCAACCTGGGCTCCCTCTGGGCAAACTGCTTAGCAATGAACGGAGGAGGCAACAGTGGAGAGTCCTGGGACCGGGGAATTGTGCCTCTCATCTTATATTCCTTTTCCTATGGAGGGGAGATGGCCACATCGCTCTCCACGGAGCAAAAAGCGAATCCAGTAAGGAATATTAAGTGAAGGGAACCAGTTAAACTCACCAACTTTTCGAGGACTTCGCCTCCATTTCTTGAGGGTCAGAAGAAGTCCCATTGCGCAGGGAACCCGCACCCCACCCTTCCTTCACATATATTCAAATGGGGCAGGAGAGAGGTTTATTACTGAGACAGGGATGCCATTTTCACAAATGAAGCCCACCGCCTAATCAAGGGCGCAAGGGAACCATCCCGAGGCCAAACAGGGCGCAGGGCTTTTGCGAGGCCTCCCCTTCCTTGCGCAGGAGAACTTCCCCACAGCCACCACCGCGTTGTGCTTCTCCTTTCCCACGAAGTTTGGTTTTAACTTTTAAGGAGACGAGCCATGTTGAGTTTTGGGGACGGGGCGCACGCTGGCTTTGCAAAAGTGAAGAGAAGGCTGTTCCCACCTGTGCTCGATTCTTTATCATTTGCAGTGAAAATGAATTTCCGTGAAACCTTTCAAGGGCCAAGTGTGGGATGGGGGTCCCTGGGTCTTCCTTTCGCCCCACTCGCCCATCCACCCTCTCTTTCTCCTTCATCCAGACTTCTGCTGAGAAGTTTTGATACTTGAATGTTTCAAGGGATGTTTTCCCTTATACCCCATTGCTCCTGGAAGACATATATAAATCCATCTTTCATGTTCACTGCCCCACAGATAGACATCCTCACTGTTTACAAAAAGGGGACGAAGAAAGAATTATCCATTTCATACTCGGAAAAAGGGGGTGATCGTATCTGTAATCTCTGCTGGGGTCCTACCCCACTCCCTTTGAAATCGCCCCACATGGGGTTCTGTTTCCCCATGTGTTTAAAATAGTTTTATCCCCACCCGACTCCTGTCCACCTTTGGTAGGACTTGGGAGGGGGAAGTAGGTAGGTGAGTAACTTTAGTACAAGGTGGTTTTACGGCGCGTACGGATTTTCGTTCTTTTGTTTGTTTTCATAGAGGGGGGGGATGTGTTCGTGGTTGTGCTTTTGTGAACGTTCCGCTTGTTTTCTGTGGCTTTTAGGAATATAAAAATGGGGTCTGTACCTGTTAGTTCCAGAGCTGGCGAAAAATATACATATAGAAACACGCCCCCCCACCCGCTTCAAGCCTTCGTATAACCCCCACCCCCTTCTGATTTACCACTTCTAGAAAGGACACCTTTATGTGGTGGAAAAGTTTTCCTAGAAAAACAAGGGGGGTGGGAAATTAGGTGGGGAGAGAGAGAAGAAATTAATGTCTGTCTTTCGGAATGTTTCGAGACAAAACAGTCCCAGCAGAGAAATCTAATTTCATAGAATATTATATAGGACTTTTATACCATTTTTGCCTGCTGATAAGCAGTTGTGCTTTAGAGATTTGATAGGCATATTTTGATCTTTCGACATGGCCTGGCCTGGTTTGCAGGCTTTTCCTGAGGCGGGAAGGAAAGAATCCTTTTAGGGTTTTTAGTTCAGCGTCAAAGAAAACAAAATCTGCATTTTTAAAATAAGAGGGTTTTTCTTTTTTTGGGGGGGGTTCCCTATCACTTTCTCTTAGAATCTTCCCGTCCTGTCTAAGTTATTGGAGGGTGGGGAGCTTGCAGGAGTGATATTCGACGAGGCAAACTATAAGCGAATTCCTTTTTATAAAGGTTAAACTTTAGAGGGCCCCAGTGGCTTAAATTAGTCAAACTTCACCTTGTCTTATAAAACCAGTTCCCTAATGGAATTTCCAAGGAAGCGTCCTAATTCCGCCCCCCTCCTACTAAGTATAAAATCGGAGGTGTTTTGTTTTGTTTTAGATTGTATTTCCCTCATTGGAGTGTATTTTGAGCCAGCTGGGGTTGGGTAGAATTCTGCGGTTTTGTCTGTTTCGGTTTTTTAACTCGCTGGTGCACTAAGTGAATCTGAAACCCGACAGGACGCGGAGAGCATCTTTCAAAATAGCCCGGGACCCCCTTTCAGCGCTAACATTCACATTTTGTAAAGAAAGCCTTCTCTATAAATGTATTAGCATATTCACTCATTTTAGCCATAGGCTCATTCCTAGACCTTATTAGTGAAGACAAGAGAAGTTTTTTAAAACCGCATTTTTGCTAAAGCATGGATTAATAAACAGAATTAAATTTTAAAAATAAATAAATAAAACTAGCTGATTTCGTTAGAGGAAACTCTGTTCTTAAGAGTGAGAGGAAATGTTTGGAAAAACCTTCTGTTGTTTCTTCTGTTCCACCGGTTCAAAATGTATTTTCCACAGCTGTTTAATGCCTCAAAATAAAAACCGATTTTAGGGAAGGGAGACCCCTCTACCTATATCTCATTGTGTTATACTGCTTCTTCTAGAACTTCAGAATATTTGCAACTGTGTTCGTTCGTTTGTTTCCTTTACTGGCTATTAAGGGTGTGTTATAAAGATAGTTTTGTATTGTTTTGTTTTCGTTTGGTCAGTGGCTCCCCCTTTTTTTTACGTCACTAAGAAAAGCTGATAATGATTCAATTTCGGCGCGTTTTTGTTTTCTTCCCGTGTGAAATCGGTTGCATCTATAAACCCATTCAGCAAAACAGAAATAAAGCGGTTCTCCGTCTTTCCATTTGTGGCGAAAAGAGTCGTTATTATTACTTTTTTAAAGCCAAGAAAAAGAATGGACGGACGGATGAATGAATGGATGGATGGCTGGGTGAATGAGGGAAAGGGGGGGGAAGTATGTGAGTGAGTTAATATTATGTTTACACATTACAATTTGAGAGGCTTCTACATGCAATCCAATGAGGGTGAGGCGAAGGTTCTTTTTCAGGACTGGGAAGAAGTAGATCCAGGATCCCCTAACTTACATTGGAGTTGAAAAGAAATAGAAAAGAAAAAAAGAAATATAATGCAGCTCTGATAAACATATCTTGCCTTACAACTCATTCGCACGGCCAATAAGCTTTCATGTAATGATCCTTCCCCAAAGTGACTTGTCCTACATATTTCAATTAGAACCATTACCAACTGGGAAAGGGATATCCATGTGCTGTTTTTAATAGTGTTTTTCAATTACCCACGACCAAAAAAAATCTAAATAATGAGGCCAGAAACAAACCAACCAGGATTTTCTTATAACACAAACCTTGAAATGTAAAGTTGGCTGATGTCAAAAATAAAAATAAACGCTCTGTTTTGATCATGGTGATGATTTCTTATTTTATTTTTTGGGGGAAATATATTTTTAAAAAATATATATTTTCAAGCTCTGGAAAGAGAAGGGGGAAATGATCGCTGGATCTAAGTGGAATAGAAGTGGGAGCGGGGCTTGTCATAAAAGAGAGAGCGAGAGAAGAAAAGTCTGCGCGGTAGGGCTGCAATAAAAGAATATGACCGCCATAAAACTTTATAGGGTATAAATTTCTGAAGGTTAAGGAACTAAGCAACTGTAAAGCAAACAAGAGTAGAAAACTTTCAGAAGCTCCTAAATTACTAGAATGTCTTGAGAGAGAGAGGAGGTGAGGGGGGTGGGAAAAGTAGACAGACATTTGTGCCTTGTTTACCCAGAAATTGGGGGCACTTTTTTAATAATAATAAAAATAATGTTTTTAGGGAGAGAGAGAAAGAGAGAAAGAGAGAAAGAGAGAAAGAAAGAAAGAAAGAAAGAAAGAAAGAAAGAAAGAAAGAAAGAAAGAAAGAAAGAAAGAAAAGTCTACATAATTTATCCCCCTCTTGTGAATTCTGTGAAAATCCAGCGTTCTGGATCGCTTCGCCCTTTGTGTGGCGCTTCTTATCACTTCCAAGCTGCCAGCATCCTGGATCATAAACTCACAACAAACACACACAAACACATGCCATCATATATATACACACACACCCCAAAGTTCTGGCGAGACGTCTGGGTTTAGAAAGCCTTTCTCCCCTCTTTTTAATCTATTTACAACCCGAGCTTTCCCCCATCCAGAGCAGAATACTTCAATTGTTTAGTCTCGGGTTTTGAAACAATGGTGGATTATTATTTTTTCCTTCCCAAAAGCGAAATCCCAGCCTCTGGCTTTTATTGCTCTGAAAACGACCGGCTGAGAAGCTTGAGGTAGGGCTGGGTGGGGTGGAATTATTCTTCACCATCACAAATATACACGGGATCTTATGATTTCAGAAATGATTTATCGTGTGCAACAAGACTTTAAAAGGCACACAAAGGGGGAGAGACAGAAAAAGAAAAAAGAGATCCATAAAAGCGCGCGCGCACACACACACCAAATCTTCATCTCCCACCTTCCCTTATTATTGGCTTGTACGTTTCTAAAAGCGCCTTACTTGGAATGGTCGTTAGATGGCGCTGTTACTCCACTTTTAGAAATCACCGAGCCAGTAGCTTATTGGATTTCTTTCCCTCTCGAGTCCGCAACACCTTGATTTCATTAGGAACAATAAACGGAATTGCTGCTCAAAACCTTTGTGAATAAATCCTCCAGTATAAAATATAGGGTTAATTATGGCGATTTTGAGGTTTCTTCTCGAGAAGGTTCTTATATGTTCATGGTTCTTATATGTTCAGTCCATTGGAAGAGAGACATCCACAAAGATTTTAAAAGCTTGCTGCACAAATGCAGCAGGAAGATCTCCTGCGCAAGCCCCTTTGCAATGAAGAGGGACTGGTGATCTACGGAACAGCTCCAGCACAGCTCCCATTCATGTCCATTTCACGCCGTATGTGTGCGCTGGGTGACCCGATCCTGCCCTGAAGAGGCTATGTGAGTGTGTGGTCAAGGAAGCAAGCAAACGTTTAAGAGCTGAGAAATATAACCTTAGAGGGTGTTGTTTTGCTCCTCCACTGTTTTAGGGCCGTTAAAAGGTTATGGTGCTTATATTACAGTTTCCAAAACAAAACAAAAAATGTATTTTGCAAGAAAGAAAGCAGATGGATCACAAATTTTGGGAGAGGGCAGGAAATGTCCATTCATTCCACAAGGACCCCATTATACTTTGATGGGAACCTCTGTAGTACATTATATGACGAAGACAATTCAGACAATCGCAAGTCTCCCCCAAAACCTTATAGGATTATTCAATCACTTGTTTTCTTAATGGTCTCACCCAGACATTTTGTGAACCCTGACCACACATATTCCTATGTATGTGTGTGTTTGTAAATATATAAATAAGAAGAGGTGTGTGCTTAAAATGAACCGAAAAACAGAGATGAATTTACCCTTTCACGTGACCCTTTATAAATATTTTCTTGGTCTTAGAGCACAAACACCATAAAATTATTCGCTTTAAAAAACCCAAAATACTTTCAGATCTGTTTCGCTGCCCCCCCTCCCCAAAAGCCTCAGATGAAAATGCAAGGGGGCATTATTGGATATAAAACACTTCATTTGTTAGACAGAAATAACATGACCAGAAAACGGAATATTAGGAACGGAACCATTTTAATAAAGGCTTTCTAACGAAAGTTTACAGCTTTTGTAGACGGATTTTGAAGAAGAATACAGCAGATTGGTGACATTCGATACACAGTTTTGTTAAAGGGCTCAGAGCCTAATTTTACAACAGTACAAATCCAAAAGGTGGGGGGGGGGAGAACAAGAAAATGAAATGCCACCCCTCCCTTGCAAATCACCCATTCCACCCCAAAGGCGAATTCCAGCAAATCCTCGCTGTATAAAAGCTGCAATCCTTTAGCCATAAGTAGTTTTGTGCAAATTAATAGGAAGCCTCTTTTAAAAACAAACAAACAACAACAACAACTCATGGAGCTATAAAGTAATGAGAAGTTACAGTTTACGAAGTGATGTATTTTGGGGGAAGCTTTGCTAATAAATCTTCCCTCCGCTGGGTATTTGTAAATTATGTTCCCACTTTCTCTTGTGGTTTTCTCCCCCACCATAATAAAAACATTTTCCTTTCATCAGAGGTCCCTCGTACAGTATGCCGGTGATATAATGCAAGCGACTGCTTCAAGATCCATTGGCGGCGCTTTGTTGGACATCATGCACTAAACTCTACTGCGCTTGGTAAAAGCGTTAACTTCCAAGACAATTTAGCACTCCGCTCGCCAATCCCTCTCTCGTCTTGATACGCGTGTGCGTATCTATGTGTGTGTACACACACACAGAGAGAGAGAGAGAGAGAGAGAGAGAGAGAGAGAGAACGCTAATAGACTTTTCACATGTTGGTAGTTATGCATTTACAGGTTACTTAGTCATACACGAGGATGCCACACTTGTCTATCACGAAGGAGGCTAGTTTTTTGTTAAGATGTCAGCAAATCCTACTGTTTGCAAATTTATACAGACACACTCATCTTCAGGCAATGGTGATGGGAGAAATCACACCGCTCTTTCCGAAATCTTCTTAGAGACATGTTTGAAACTTTTGGGCAGCCATCTCCACTCACTAGGGAATAATCCCCACTGGACACAGTGGGGTTTACTCTTGAGCAAGCATGGACAGGACTGTGCTATGGGATCCCGTAGGCGCTTACCTGAGAGTAAACCCCATTGCACTCAGTGGTGCTGACTTCTGAGTAGGCTTGCCTAGGAACTCAGACATTAAATCGTTCACAATAGTGGAAGGGAAGGAAGATCCCGCTCTTATTTTGTTCTATCACTTCGTGAATTTATGGGTTGTTATAATCAAACTTTCTTTAAAAACTCATTTGTTATGCTTAGTGGGTAGTAAAAGAGAATATAAAAAAACCCTTTAAAAAAGAGAGAGCGAGAGATAAAGAAAAGCTTGCATTTAAGGCATCTTAAGCAGTTAACGCTCCACTTGCGTGGGATTGTAGGTTTGGATCAAATTCCTCTTTTACGAAATAAAGCAAAATAGATTTTACTTTAAAACAAATAAGGCTGGATAAGCTTTAAATGCCCTTTCTTTCTTTCTTTCTTTCTTTCTTTCTTTCTTTCTCCCTCAATTTAGATACAGGACCATAGTCGGAGTTACCTCCTTCGAATGGTACAGCTTTAAATATTGTTTTCAACATCAAACCTTTTAAAGTTTAAAGGGATTCTGTTAGGTTTCGGGAATCTTTATTGCGGGTGTTCTGGGGGGCTGAGATGCCTCTGTTTTCGCCTTTGAGGTGTAAACAATATAGGGCTGCTGGGATGATGGCGTGGGTAGTGGGCGGGAGGAAGAATTTAGATGGACCCAGGGCAAGAGGAGATAGGTTCGAATACCCCAAGAATTGGGGTATCTCAGCTTAAATGTGTTGTAGAAATGAACTTCATGTGGGGTGGCGGGAGGGGGGAGAGGAGGGAGCTTATGGGGATGCTTCTATTTGGAGAGGCGGTGATGGTTAGGACAGAGGTTTATCAGAGGTGGGGGTCCAAGAGGAAGCTCCGATGTCTTATGATCTGAGGAAACGTCTTCATAATAGTTGCTGACTACGTTAAAGGGTTCCTAGAATTTACCCCCTGTGTGCTTATATCGAGAGAAATTGTCGAGTTAGCATGTTAAAAGCTGAAAGCAACTTTAACAAACGTCAGTATAAAACAGAAATACACTCCCCCCCATATTCCACCCCCTTTCCAACCTCACCCCACACACCTCTCAACGCACACCCAGTGTTAAAAGCACCTGGTGTTCTAAGTTTTCTGGGGGTGGGAGGTGGGGTGACGGTGCTGAGAATGGGCTATTATGAATGCCCATAAATGTGGCGTTTTGGAGGTGATAAGAGACGCAACATCGCATCTTCTCCTATGTGGAAGGAAAGGGAGGGAGGGAGGGAGGGAGGAGGAGGAGGAGGGAGAACAGGAGGGTAGAGGCGGGGGGGGGGAGGGAATAGTAGAGAGAGCCGAAAAGTCAATGTTATATATGAAAAACTATAATCATTTTAATTCAGTATTGACACCCCAACATCTTGCGATAATGGAGTTTAGGCGCCAATCGAAGCCTGGGTTTTTATAGCAGTAGGGGAAAGAACTCGTAAAAACCCTTTAACAGCTTTTTATGTAGTGCGATATAACCAGCAAGAACATCTCCGGGTGTGCGCGTTTTTATTTATTTATTTAGTTGTTGTTTTGTTTTTGTTTTTTATTTTATTTTATTGCGCTTTATAGTTTGTTAAACAGTTTACGGCCCCCTCTTTTTCTGGGGGGAGTTTTTTTTTTAAACAAATGGGCCATTTCTTTCTTTTCGTGCTGATAGTTAAACCTTTATCAATAATAAGGAAATTGATCATTAAAATGTTAAAT